CCGATGAGCTGGCTGGTGTGTTACCGGGGCGCCCGTCTCTGTCCTAGAGACAGACAGAGAGGGAGAGACACACACACACACACTCGCAAAAGCAGTGTCTGGTTACAACACAGTAGTTCTTCAGATGACATTTGAGCTAAATGACAAACACGTCATTGTTACCTTGTCATTACCATGTCGGTGGTCCACAAAGAAACACACTTAATCATGAACACCAACATTTTTTTAAAAAATATATACCTGCAGATATAAATGCAGAGTTTGTAAAACGCTTAAAAAATTAAGGGAATTCTATTTTTTTTTTCTCTACAAAAACTGGGCCACCGCAATAAAACGCACCCTGAGAGTATATCATGCGTCTCATCAAAGAAAACCCAAGATACTAAGTTCAATGAAACATGAAAAATGCCAAAGAAAACAGCTATTCAGTAACAGGTCCTCGGTTTATGTCGTCCTCGGTTTATGGCGTCCTCGAGTTACAGTGTTTCGTGGTTAAGTCACCATCAACCATAAATTTCACATAAAAATATCTTGTTCCATCATTCAGACGTACGCCATTAAAACCCGCCAACTAGTTCGCACGGAAAACCGACGCGCGTCGAGGACACGCCGTAATCGTCTTTCACGACTGTGTCTCCGTAAAGTCTCCCAAGTCTTTGGGTTTGAGTGTCTTACGAAAGATTTATTACTCAAGTACCATGTAGCGAATAATACATCCTTTGTGCGCTACATACAACACAGCTAACCTAAAACCAGCGTAGAACAATGAATCATTTAGAGCTTCGTCCTCATTTGGAGTCACCACAAAGTAATTCGGCACAGTTTTACATCAGATCTGTCAAAAGTGTATTTAAAAATAAACATAACAATACAAATAACAAAGAAAAGAGCTGGGGGGAAAACTATGCTGAATAAAAAAAAAAAAGCACAGAAGTGCCAACGACTTCCATTAAGTTTAATAGAAACCTGAGCTGGATACAAAATATGCGTAGGGTAGAACAGCAATGTACACAGCGAATGTAAACAAACTGCATTTAATTATAATATAGGAAATATTCAGGAAAAAATATAAAAGATGCATTGCAGACCATGTATGCGTGTGTTCATTTCTCCTGCCGACACGGGGTCCAAAGATCAGAAAAGACATTTAAAAAACCAGTCTCAAAGATCAGAAAAGACATTTAAAAAACGAGTCTCATGGCATAGCAAACCAGCAGAAAAAGGAGGAGTAAGGTCTTTCTTCCTTTTTTGTTTTTTGTTTTTTTTTCAAAATACTTACAATAAAATTCCTTTCTCTGAAGTTCTAAATTTCGACATCGGATGAGCGTTGATCGTGGGTAGCGCGCTTCGCAGAACTCAGGAAAATAACACAAATGCAACATTACTTTCAAAATATCAATGTTCAATGTTCTGCTTGCGACTACACAGGGTCCTGTGGGGTCAAACTTCAACCAGGCTGACATTTTAGGGGTCACAGGTTCACGAAGGTCACGGGACCATACAGCAGGTGTCACTAGGAGGGGGCGTCCTCCCCGTGTATAGCCTTATACTTGGCCATATCTTCTGGAAAAACTTTGCTGAGCTCGGAGATGAGCAGACTCTTGAATTTCTTCGATGAAACAGAAAATACAAGAGTGGGTTTACATATTTATCCCTTGTCAGTTTGAATTGAACTGTGTGGTGATCAGTTAAACAACGTCAATTTGAATCACTAAGTGCAGTAGCAGTATGTTGAAATTAACATTTGTTTTTATTTTTTACAAGGACATTTAATTCATCATCATTTTCTACGATTTAAAGCCCTAAAAGGCTTTTTAGAAAACTGAAATCTTATCACTTCCCGGTTAATGAGACCCTGGGATAATCTCTTACCGTCATGGTGTCAATCTTCCCTTTAACCTGCTCGTTTCTAGCCAAGGCTCTCTCCAAGCATTCCTTAGTGTACAGCTGAGGGTTTCGTCCTTGGTCGATGTATCTTTGAACAGAAAAACACACAGGCTGAAGGTAGAAATCACAGAAAACGGTTGAACGTTATTGTCGTTTCACTAGGTCACATTTCCGTGAACAACAAAACAATCTTCGACCTCAAAAAATTTGAGCAAATCACATTACTAAAATATATTATTTTGATAATTCTCTTTGCAGGCACTGCGTGGACATTTATTATGAAAGTATTCAAATGGAAAACGTTGCTGTAAATGGTTGCAAATCAACATAGAGTTCTTAATTGTGTATGTTCACATGTTAATGTTGTAAAAAGAATTACTCAAAACATTTTAACAAATACAAACAGAAGGGGAAACGTGTGAAAACAAACGGCAGGTCTTACTCAAACACTTCCAGCGGAACGTTGATCTCATGAAGCTGTTGACGGCACTTCTCGATATCTTGCAAACCGGATATCATAAAGTTTCTATTAAAAAAGATAAAAAGAGTTAACTAATTGTTTATGCTCTGGTTTATAGAATTAATCTCACAGTACTTACAGTTTCTGGTTAAGACCCGTTTGGCTGCTAGGCTGGAAGTCGCTGACGATGATTCCTAGCTGTCGAATATTCTCGATAAATTTCTCTAAGTGCTCCTCCAGGTTATCAAATTTTTCCGCCATAATAACCATCTATCACATTAACACATAAAAAAGAGGAATTGTTACGTTTTTATCGATAATATATGTGTGTAATCAGTGTTTTCGGCCCAGCGACGCACATAGCACCGAAGCCACGGAACTGAAACGCTTTACGGCAAGAGAACAGCCAATCAAATGCGTGAATTTGTATGTTGTCTTGGAAACAGCTAATGAAAGTCGAGTTTTCAGAGCCGTAAACCTGTAAGATGTCGTGCTGCATTACAGGGCAGTGCTTCGTTGATTATACCAAAAAGTAACCCAAAAACATACTATTTCGACTTTAAATAATTATAAAATAGTGTGTATACATTAATATCTGTATATTTTGTCAGTCGCCACGTCATTCCATTGAGGAATTACCGGCATTGAGGAGACCAACTGTTAGTATTAGTACAGTATTTCAATATATAAGTGGAAAGTGTAAAACAAGTAAAACAAGTAAAACAAGTAAAACAAACACAAAAATGAAATGTAAAAAGTAGAAATTAAACAAGTAGAAATTAAATGTAAAAAGTAGAAATTAAACAAGTAGAAATTGAACACAGGAAAACAATTGTTGTCCAGTTGAACAAAGTATATTGATTTATTAAGAGCCGCTCTTTTTTGTGTGTATTGTATATACTAGAATGTACATATACTTAATTTCCATTACGTGTTTTACAGTTTATCTGTCAGTTACGCTGAAGCACCTGAAACTGTATACCAACTGACGGCAATGTGGCAGGCTCGATCAATAGTTAACTTTAAGAATCTTTAATCTTTTTTTATCTCTGTTCCTTAGCTTTGATCCTTTGTAGTTATAGACTATGAGTATAACTATCATTAGGTATCTGAGAGCAGCTTACTAAATAGCACAAAAACAAATAACAAAATAAGAAAAGCCACAAACTGATTGAGTTTATATGGATCCTATATTGGGAGAATTGTATGACAACAATAAAGAGGTAAAGATACTGTACAATAAAAAAAATAGGATTTTTTTTTTAAATGTAAAAGTAGTAATACAAATACAGTGCAAAATATAGTAATACAATTTTGTGGGAGGGTTTCTTATTTGGTGAGCATGTGTAATGGTGACACGTATTACAATAGAGAAGACTGTAGAAGACAAGAATACAACTTTTTTTTTGGGACATTTTATTCATGTAACCTTAGGATTTGCCACTATATGATCTTTTAGACTCCAAAAATGTATACAGTGTTGTTGTAACACCATTATGATGAGTTAATACAGTGTTGTTGTAACACCATTATGACTGAGAGTTGCAGCATGTTTCGATGAATCACAGGTGTGTCATGTCTGGTAATGGTGAAACCCCACATTCTTTGATGTATCTTCTCTATGCGTAAAGAAGGCACAAAAACACCCTAGTGGTAAAAACGGAGTGGTACATGTCTGTATATATCTCTAATGAACATACAATTGATAGTATAATTTTAGAATATACAATTTCCTGTCACAGAAAGCAGTAGCTTTTAAACTGTAATATCTTTATTGGTTTTTAAAGGTAGAAGTCACACAAAAAATCAGGAAAAGTAGTATAAAACGCCCCCTGGTGGTTACATTTCTCTGAAAATATATATATTTATAAAGCAAATTATTTTTAACTTTTAACAAATTCAATATACCATGCCAAGTCAAATGCTTGGTTTTAAATGGAACTGCACTTAAATTCCGGGCTTTTATTTCGAAATGCCCTACGTGCGCTTGCACCCATGTGAACGCGCCAGAGGCGCAGAGAAGCATTAACCGGGGGTTGGCTCTTTACTCATACTAGGCTGCGTTAAAGCCCCGATCTGCTGCAGCTGCACACTCACCACACACTCTCTCTGTCTGTCTGCCTCTCTCGCTCCCTTCTCTTTCTCTCTCCCTTCTCCCTCTCTTTCTCTCTCCGCTTCTTCTCCCACACTGCGGATCTCACCCATTGGCAGCTCAGTTGGATGCTGGAGCCATTTCTGTTCCCTCTGTACTAAACACGCTGTGGGATAACGGCGCAGAGCGGATTGGACTCCGGATTTAAACCGCGTCCACGGTGAGTATTTACGGCTCTCTTGTCATCCAGTGCTGGCGGTGTGTACGGACAGACGTGGACGACTATGTGCGCTTTTTCCCCGTGATTAGGACAGCTGATGCCGTGTGATGTAAATAATATAGCCGTTATTCTCCTAATTATTGAATATATTCTGATATTCGGACCATTCGTTATCATTTGACACCATGTTCTGTCATCACAATTTCGACACCCAACAACAGATACAGGGTTTTATTTCCCTTCATTTGTAGAATAAATATTCTCTCGCGTCTCCCTGTTGTTACATTTTGGTGCGATCACCTTTAGTGCTTCTGCGTAAAAGCACCGACCTATCAGTGAGCAACCGCAGTCACAATCATTATGTGGGTGCAAAAGAGAAAGAAAAAAAACCAAGAATCAGCTACTTCTGATCGGTGTGATTATGAAGTCATTATTAGAACTAACTCATCTTCCGTTTTCTGGTATTTTTTTTTTCAGTTCGTTCGTTATCAAGATGATGCTCTGAGGAGAACACACACACACAGGCTTCCCGGTTGTGTCAATCCGTGCGGCTGCAGTGAGTGGAGGGGGATTGCGGTACAACAAGGTTAACAATAATCGCCAATAAAGGTCGTTTTCCGTGAGCGGGCACGGACTGAGAAGCGTAAAACATCGCCCCTGTGCGGGGGGATCGGCGGAGAACCGAGAGATCAATAAAACATTATTATGGCCACCCTACTGCGGAAGATCGGTCTGATCCGTCTGCACGACCGAGACACCGAGGATCCGAAGCATCACCAGGGCTCGTTGAAGGGGAGCAAAGGGAACCAGAAAAACAACGCGAACAAACACTGTCAGACCGCCAACGAGACCAACAACATCCTCAGCACGCCCGAGATCAAGGCGAGGAAGCTGGACCAACACGTCAAGGACAAGGCGAGCGGCAAGGATAAGCAGGGCAAGGATGCAAAGGAGAAACAGCAACAGAAAGGAGGAGGAGGAGGAGGAGGCAGCGGCGGGGGGGGGGGGGGGGGGGAGGAGGAGGAGGAGGAGGCAGCGGCGGGGGGGGGGGGGGGGGGGGGGAGGAGGAGGAGGAGGCAGCGGCGGGGGGGGGGGGGGGGGGGAGGAGGAGGAGGAGGCAGCGGCGGGGGGGGGGGGGGGGGGGAGGAGGAGGAGGAGGCAGCGGCGGGGGGGGGGGGGGGGGGGAGGAGGAGGAGGAGGCAGCGGCGGGGGGGGGGGGGGGGGGGGAGGAGGAGGAGGAGGCAGCGGCGGGGGGGGGGGGGGGGGGGAGGAGGAGGAGGAGGAGGAGGCAGCGGCGGGGGGGGGGGGGGGGGGGGGAGGAGGAGGAGGAGGAGGAGGAGGCAGCGGCGGGGGGGGGGGGGGGGGGGAGGAGGAGGAGGAGGCAGCGGCGGGGGGGGGGGGGGGGGGGGAGGAGGAGGAGGAGGAGGCAGCGGCGGGGGGGGGGGGGGGGGGGGAGGAGGAGGAGGAGGCAGCGGCGGGGGGGGGGGGGGGGGGGAGGAGGAGGAGGAGGAGGCAGCGGCGGCGGCGGGAGTAAAGCCACTAGCGCCTCCTCCATAGCTCCGCTGGCTCCACACCGGCAACACTGCACCCAGGTTCGGACGCGGAGGCTGATGAAGGAGCTGCAGGAGATCAGGAGGTTAGGGGACAACTTCATCACGGTGGAGCTGGTGGAGGACAACTTGTACGACTGGAATGTCAAGCTGCACCAAGTGGACAAGGACTCGGCGCTGTGGCAGGACATGAAGGAGACGTGCACCGAGTACATTCTGCTCAACGTCACCTTTCCCGACAATTTCCCCTTCTCGCCCCCGTTCATGCGGGTCCTGACGCCGAGGCTGGAGAACGGCTACGTCCTGGACGGCGGGGCCATATGCATGGAGCTGTTGACCCCCCGCGGATGGTCCAGTGCCTACACGGTGGAGGCGGTGATGAGGCAGTTTGCTGCAAGCCTCGTAAAAGGACAGGTGAGGGCAAGAGTGGGGTC